CAACCTTAAAGGTCCAAAACTGAAAGGTGACGTTGACGTGTCCGTTCCAAAACTGGAAGGAGATATTAAAGCACCACAATTTGAAATTGAAGGCACAGACATTGAAGGACATGAGGGTGGTTTTAAGATGCCAAAAATGAAAATGCCATCATTCGGACTGAAGGGTCCAAAAGTGCAGGGTCCAGATGTTGATGTGAAGGCACCAGATGTGGACATCAAAGATCCAGAGTTAGACATTGAAGGACCTGAGGAAAAAATCAAGGGCCCCAAATTCAAGATGCCATCAATCTCTGGTCCAAAGATTTCTATGCCAGACGTTGACTTCAACCTGAAAGGTCCAAAACTGAAAGGTGACGTTGACGTGTCCGTTCCAAAACTGGAAGGAGATATTAAAGCACCACAATTTGAAATTGAAGGCACAGACATTGAAGGACATGAGGGTGGTTTTAAGATGCCAAAAATGAAAATGCCATCATTCGGACTGAAGGGTTCACAAGTGGAGAGTCCAGATGTTGATGTGAAAATCCCTAAAGCCAATATTGAAGTTAAGGCACCAGATGTGGACGTCAAAGCTCCAGAGGTTGACATTGAAGGACCTGAGGGAAAAATCAAGGGCCCCAAATTCAAAATGCCATCAATCTCTGGTCCAAAGATTTCTATGCCAGACGTTGACTTCAATCTGAAAGGTCCAAAACTGAAAGGTGACGTTGACGTGTCCGTTCCAAAACTGGAAGGAGATATTAAAGCACCAAAATTTGAAATTGAAGGCCCAGACGGCACCAGATGTGGACATCAAAGCTCCAGAGTTAGACATGGAAGGACCTGAGGGAAAAATCAAGGGCCCCAAATTCAAGATGCCATCAATCACTGGTCCAAAGATTTCTATGCCAGAAATTGATTTCAACCTGAAAGGTCCAAAACTGAAAGGTGATGTTGACGTGTCCATTCCTAAAGTGGAAGGAGATATTAAAGGACCAAAATTTGAAATTGAAGGCCCAGACATCGAAGGACCTGATGGTGGTTTTAAGATGCCAAAAATAAAAATGCCATCATTAGGACTGAAGGGTCCAAAAGTGCAGGGTCCAGATGTTGATGTGAAGGCACCAGATGTGGACATCAAAGATCCAGAGTTAGACATTGAAGGACCTGAGGAAAAAATCAAGGGCCCCAAATTCAAGATGCCATCAATCGCTGGTCCAAAGATTTCCATGCCAGATGTTGACTTCAACCTGAAAGTTCCAAAACTGAAAGGTGATGTTGATGTGTCCATTCCCAAAGTGGAAGGAGATATTAAAGCACCAAAAGTTGATATTGAAGGCCCAGAAATTGAAGGACCTGATGGTGGTTTTAAGATGCCAAAGTTCAAAATGCCATCATTCGGACTGAAGGGTCCAAAAGTGGAGGGTCCAGATATTGATGTGAAAATTCCTGAAGCCAATATTGAAGTTAAGACACCAGAATTGGACATCAAAGCTCCAGAGTTTGACATTGAAGGACCTGAGGGAAAAATCAAGGGCCCCAAATTCAAGATGCCATCAATCTCTGGTCCAAAGATTTCTATGCCAGACGTTGACTTCAACCTGAAAGGTCCAAAACTGAAAGGTGATGTTGACGTGTCCGTTCCAAAACTGGAAGGAGATCTTAAAGCACCAAAATTTGAAATTGAAGGCCCAGACATTGAAGGACATGAGGGTGGTTTTAAGATGCCCAAGTTCAAAATGCCATCATTCGGACTGAAGGGTCCAAAAGTGGAGGGTCCAGATATTAATGTGAAAATTCCTAAAGCCGATATTGAAGTTAAGGCACCAGAATTGGACACCAAAGCTCCAGAGTTTGACATTGAAGGACCTGAGGGAAAAATCAAGGGCTCCAAATTCAAGATGCCATCAATCTCTGGTCCAAAGATTTCTATGCCAGACGTTGACTTCAACCTGAAAGGTCCAAAACTGAAAGGTGATGTTGACGTGTCCGTTCCAAAACTGGAAGGAGATCTTAAAGCACCAAAATTTGAAATTGAAGGCCCAGACATTGAAGGACATGATGGTGGTTTTAAGATGCCAAAAATGAAAATGCCATCATTCGGACTGAAGGGTCCACAAGTGGAGGGTCCAGATGTTGATGTGAAAATCCCTAAAGCCAATATTGAAGTTAAGGCACCAGATGTGGACATCAAAGCTCCAGAGTTTGACATTGAAGGACCTGAGGGAAAAATCAAGGGCCCCAAATTCAAGATGCCATCAATCTCTGGTCCAAAGATTTCTATGCCAGACGTTGACTTCAACCTGAAAGGTCCAAAACTGAAAGGTGATGTTGATGTGTCCGTTCCCAAAGTGGAAGGAGATATTAAAGCACCAAAAGTTGATATTGAAGGCCCAGAAATTGAAGGACCTGATGGTGGTTTTAAGATGCCAAAGTTCAAAATGCCATCATTCGGACTGAAGGGTCCAAAAGTGGAGGGTCCAGATATTGATGTGAAAATTCCTAAAGCCAATATTGAAGTTAAGGCACCAGAATTGGACATCAAAGCTCCAGAGTTTGACATTGAAGGACCTGAGGGAAAAATCAAGAGCTCCAAATTCAAGATGCCATCAATCTCTGGTCCAAAGATTTCTATGCCAGACGTTGACTTCAACCTGAAAGGTCCAAAACTTAAAGGTGATATTGACGTGTCCATTCCAAAAGTGGAAGGAGATATTAAAGCACCAAAAGTTGAAATTGAAGGCCCAGAAATTGAAAGACCTGAGGGTGGTTTTAAGATGCCAAAGTTCAAAATGCCATCATTCGGAATGAAGGGTCCGAAACTGGAGGGTCCGGATGTTGATGTGAAAATCCCTAAAGCCGATATTGACATTAAGGCACCAGATGTGGACATCAAAGCTCCAGAGTTTGACATTGAAGGACCTGAGGGAAAAATCAAGGGCCCCAAATTCAAGATGCCATCAATCTCTGGTCCAAAGATTTCTATGCCAGACGTTGACTTCAACCTGAAAGGTCCAAAACTGAAAGGTGATGTTGATGTGTCCATTCCTAAAGTGGAAGGAGATATTAAAGCACCAAAAGTTGAAATTGAAGGACCTGATGGTAGTTTTAAGATGCCAAAAATGAAAATGCCATCATTCGGCCTGAAGGGTCCAAAAGTGGAGGGTCCAGATGTTGATGTGAAGGCACCAGATGTGGACATCAAAGATCCAGAGTTAGACATTGAAGGACCTGAGGGAAAAATCAAGGGTCCTAAATTCAAGATGCCATCAATCGCTGGTCCAAAGATTTCTATGCCAGACGTTGACTTCAACCTGAAAGGTCCAAAACTGAAAGCTGATGTTGATGTGTCCGTTCCCAAAGTGGAAGGAGATATTAAAGCACCAAAAGTTGAAATTGAAGGACCTGATGGTGGTTTTAAGATGCCAAAAATTAAAATGCCATCATTCGGCCTGAAGGGTCCAAAAGTGGAGGGTCCAGATGTTGATGTGAAAATCCCTAAAGCC